ATGGCATAAATAATATATTATCTGTGTTAAATATAGGATGTTTTAATGAACTGAAAAAAATTACTTTTCTGAATTTAGGGAGGGAATCAGGGAAAATGGATCTGGCTGGCAGGGAATGAGTTTGGTAGGTGGTATCCGTGGGTAAGAGGGTCCCGTGAAGTGCTCGGCAGATACCCCCAACCCTCACCCACCAGGGGGTCTGAGATGAAGCAGGGAGTGGAGAGAGACCCACAAATTCTCATTTTCTGTTGTGAGCTGAATGTGATGTCGCCCCAGGCACATGTGCTTGAGGAAATTACAGAGCCCATTGGGAGGTGGAGCCTTTTGGGGGGATACAGCTGCTGATCTGAGTCATGTCCACTCCTATAAGTGACCTCTCGCCCATACACTAGTTAGTAACCCTGATAAAAACTCACTGGTTCCCCAACTCGGACTTTGGTGTAGTTCCCCTTGGGGATGAATCAACATGTACACGTGTTGCATACCCCCGAGAAAGGTCTTTCATACAACACCCAGCTCAGGGGGCAGCTTGCTGTCCAGGCTGCCCTTCAGCCACGGAGTCATCCCTACCAACCTGCTATTATGGTCACCTGATCCAGAGTGCAGCTGGACCTCACCCAATGCCACATCTAGACAGGCACTCCCTCAACCAAACTACATCCCAGCCCAATACTATGCGGGTCCCGCTCCGATGTTACTTTGGTTCCAGCCCTGAGAATTCCAGGACCAGCTGTAGACTTAACAAGGGGATCATAACAAGCTACCGGCCAGGCTTTGGGGGTTGTGGCTTGAGGTCCACACACCCAGAGCTGCCCAAGCTTCCTTAGTAAATGGTGGTCAGCTTCAAGTTCAGAGGAGCACACAGCAGGCTTTCCCACCATGCAGTGCTCAGGGCAGCTGCCACTGGCCACACAGGCAACTTAAACGTCAGATTAATTACAAGTCACGGCCCCATTAGCAAGGCTGCCATCAAGATGACAAGTGCTGTGGGCTGTGGAGAACTGGGAGCCTCATGCATTGTTGGTGGGAACATACGATGATCCAGCGGCTGTGGAAAGCAGCGTGGTGGTTTCTTAAAAGTTAAACATAGAATTACCACATGATTCAGTCCTTCTACTCCTGGGTCTGCAGCCAAAGGAATGCAAAACAGAGTGGTGAACAGGAATCTGTAACCCGAGCTCCCAGCAGCCTTATTCCCAAAAGCCGGGAGGCGGAGATGTCCAGGTGCCCATCAATGGATGAGCAAAACCTGTCTAGGTATACTATGGCTCTGATGAGCCTCAGGGAGGGAAGGTTGGGCATGGAGATGCATACTTGGGATCCCAGCACTCAGGAGGTTGGAGAATTACGAGTTCAAGGTTAGCCTGAGATTCCTAGCAGGACCTGTATCCAAAACAAAGCAAAATAACACACACCACAGACAGACAGACAGATGCACACACACGGTATTCCAACACGTTACAATGTGACTATCGCAGTCAGTTAAATAAGTTGGTTCCCAAAGGACAAATATCATACAATCTCACCGATACTGAGGTCTGGAGCGGTCAGATTCAGAGATTAAAATCAGAAGAATCACAGTCAGGCCCCAAGGGGATCAGGTGAGAAATGAGTGTTTAATGGTGGGAGGTTCAGCTTTAAAAGTTGAAAAGAATCCCGTGTGTGGATAGTGTGACCTTTGTACTTCCATGGGAATGTCCTTAATGTCACAAGCTGTGCACTTTAAAATGGTGACGACGGCCTGTGCCTGGCTCTAGGACTGTCACATGCTTGGCAAGCTCTCCACCACACATCTCTGTATTCCTAGCTCTCTTTTCCTTTTCGTGAACAAGAGCTCATTAAGCTGCCAGATCTGGTCTTGAACTTGAAATCCTCCGGCCTCAGCTTCCCAGGTAGCTGGGACTATAGGCTTGTGCCAGCAGGTACGTCATTCTGTGCCCACCCCCTCCTTTATTTGGAGTGTGCGTGAGCAAATGCACATTTGTGTGCACATGGAGGTCAGCTGCCAAGCATCTTCCTAAATCACTCATTTATTTTTGAGGGTGTGCAACTCTGTGGGCATGTGCGGTTATGTGAACACATTTGTGGGGGGGGGCTTGTATGAGTGGAAAGGTCAGAGGAGGAAGTCAGGTATCCTGCTCTATGACTTCTGCCTTCTGTCTTACTTTTTGAGATCATCTCTCCCTGACCCTGGAGCTCAGTGGTCCAGCTAAACTGGGACTGTGGGTGTGTACCACCGCACCCAACTTTTTACATCTGTGCTGGGAACTGGAACTCAGGTCCCAGTGTTTATGTGGCAGGCAGGCACTATACCCACTGAGTCATCTTCCCAGCCCCAGGCCTGGCTTATATTTTATCACAACAAAATGCTTTTAATTAAACCTTAAATTCTATTGGGTTAAAAAAAAACCTGGTCAGTTCTTTCCTCTCCCTGGACAGATTTCAAGAGCTCAAGATTCAGCCTGGCCAGTGTCTGCAATATTTCAAAGGCCAGGACAGCTACAGAAAGTTCTGTCACGCAGCAACGTTCTGGAAGGTTGTCCCTTTGTATGTGTGTCTTCATTGTTCCTCCTCTCCAAGGCCACCAGAGTATCCACCAGTCCCTTTCTCAGCTCTAAAGACAGGGCACCAGCTGTTAGTGCAATCTCTGCTCCTAGCGTGGGCAGAACCTTATCATCCCCGTCCACAAGGAACTCTTGAAGCTGAAGAAGGAGAGTGGATGAGAGGTGAGCCACCCTGCACCCCAGAGCCTCACTGAACCCCACGAGTGCCTCACCCTTGTCTTCTGACAGACTTGCCACCCCACCCACAAGGACAAGCACTTGGCCAATGAACACTTGCTGCGTGCACAAGTGCACATCTTGTGATAAGGCAAACAGATGTGACCCAGACAGCCTTTCTCAACACCTCGGGTTGATCGCCTGAAATTCTCTTCTTGTTGTTGTTGTGATGATGAGCCGGGATTCATTTAAAACATTCTTATGTTTCTGGGGTTTTGCTAGAAACTAAACCATCTTGTTATCCTTATTCAAAATAGAGCTACAGTGGGGTCGCAGGGATGTGCAGGAATGAATGAATGAATGAATGAATGAATGAATGCCTGTGGTCAAAACTTGGGGAAAGTTTTAGATGTCTTCCAGAGAGCTCTGTGACACAGGAGCCCTCCACCAGGGAAAAGGAGGATTTTCATGCATCTGACCCAGGAAGAAGTCCTGCTGAGAGCCCCACATTCAGGCAGGGCCACCCGTAGACTGCTGTCACTGCTGTGTGAGCAAAGCTACATTTTATCTGGAGATTGAAACTACCGTTACCTTAGAGACAGAAAAAACTCATTCACTTCCATTATGCCATTTAAACTACCCTACAGGGTGCAAGGAACTGACCCATTTTAATGATGGGAACACCAAGGCTCAGAGGACTGGAACCTCATTCCCACGGACACACCTCGTCTTTTTAACTCCAAGACCAACCTTTCCCTATGAGCTGGGCAGCAGTGGAACTAGGGGAAGAACACGTATTCTGGAAGCTCAGGTGAGGTCTGCATATCTACCGGGCTTACAGGCTTAGTGTGAATGCTTCCTAAGATATTGCACCGAAAGTGGCTAGCCTGGGCCTGGCACGCAGCCACACATTGGCAGATCATTAATTGCAACCATTACGGTTTTATTTATTGTTGCTGCTACTATTATTATTGCAGCCATATCTTAGGGGTTTGTTCATTTCCATGATTATGGTTGTGTTGTTATTAAATTAAAGGTACTTTTCAAAAATTAATATGAGATTAACATTTTCTAAAATAAAATGTACAAATGCAAAGACTTTTGCAAGGAAAGGTGGAAGTTCAGGGATCCAAGGATGTAATCAGGACAACTTAAAGGAGTGAGACCACTCAGGGGGCAATCTCTTTCCGGGGCTCAGCTCACCCACACACTCTCACCAGGGTCCTCCAGCGGCAAACCTAGGTGCTGCCACCTTAGCTCCCAGGAGCAGAGCCCATTTCTGCATGTCTGCCCGCCCACCTCCAGGTTGGTCCTGGGAGGACCTTGCTCACTGTAGTGCTCTGTAAGCCCATCCTCCTTCCACAAAGCAGCCCTTTCTCATGCTCCACTTGAGAGGCGCAGCCATGGTCACAGCCTAGTCCTTCCTCCAACTGCTAGTCTCCTAGCAGGGCTTTGAAGAGCCCACCACCCAGAATAGAGAAGATCTCAGACAGTGAGCTCCACTCTGCCCCTTAAGGCCCAGCCCTAAAGTCCAGCCCAGCCCTCCAGGGCCCTTCTGTCTTAGTTTCTTTTTCCCACTGTGATAATAGACTCTGGCAAAAGTCACCAAAGTAAGAAAGTGTTTATTCAAGAGCACAGTCAGTCACAGTGGGGGAAATCAAGGCAGAAGCGTGGGGGCAGCTGGTCACACCACCCACAATCAGGAAGCAGAGAGAGATGAATGCATTGCAGAGCTCAGCTGGTCACATGACACCCACAGTCAGGAAGCAGAGAGGGATGGATGCTGGTCACATGACACCAACAGTCAGGAAGCAGAGAGATGGATGCCTGGCAGAGCTCAGCTGGTCACATGTTACCCACAACCAGGAAGCAGAGAGGGATGGATGCTGGTCACATGACACCCACAGTCAGGAAGCAGAGAGATTGATGCCTGGCAGAGCTCAGCTGGTCACATGACACCCACAGTCAGGAAGCAGAGAGGGATGGATGCTGCCGCTCGGCTCCTTCTCTCCACTTACCAGGGGGAGGTACTGCCCATAATGGTGGAGTCTTCCCCCCTTAATAATCAAGATAATCTCCCACAGGCATCCTGAGACCCACTTCCCAGGTGATATCTTCCAGCTCAGTTTGCCACGTCCTACTCTTAATGGGCCCACCCAGAGACCCACCCAGCCACTGCCTAATCCCCACCCAAACCTGATTTCCCTGCCTACTCAAGTCCTGCCTCCCAGAGACTGGTTCCACTCCTAGTCCCTCACACCCCCCCCAGCCTTGACTCACAATGTTCATGAGCGTCAGCAGGTACTTCTGCACGTGCTCCGTCCCGTGGAACTGGACCACTGAGTCATCCACGCCCAGCAGGACCTCGATGTTGTAGTCATCGTCGGTGGCGTGCCTGCGCACCCTCCGCTGGGAGCTGGCGATGTGCTCCTCCAGGATGCCCAGGGCTCGGCTGAGGCTCTCCAGGCTGCCCCGGGAGGCTCCTGGAAGGAGAGGACACCTTCTTTGGTAGCAGCCCAGCACCTCTCCCCAGGAGCATCACAAAAAGATAGAACACATCTGGGTACAACTCGGTCACCAGCCAGGCTTACGGGTGGCATCTGAGTGACCATTGCGTCATTTAAAACTCACAGCATCCTGAACCAGAGCACTGTGCCCATTCACAGAACAGATGTAAGTCCAGAGGGGGCAAGAGTGAAAATGCAAACAAAACTGGGGAAACTGAGGCTCAGCACAGACTGTATGTGTCACACAGTGTCTCCCCACTCCTAGCTCTCCTTCCAGAACTAGCTCCAGAACTTTCAAGGAATGGACCAGCTTATATGCATATCCTGGGTCAGGACTTCAATGCCCCTTCTCCACAGAGAGAACTCTGCCCCCATCCCCAGTGCTGATGGGATTGCTCAGGGACCCATATAAGTAAGTCCCTCTCATCACACCTCCCACAGGGTGCCTTGAGAGAATCGACCGACTGCCCCTAGATGGCCAGGACCTGGCTATGCACTGATTATGCTGAGAAGTAGAGTCCAAGGGTGAGGGTCTGCACCAACAGGACCAGAGACCGGGATGCCATGCCCACTGACCCTCCAGCTATGCTGTCTGCCTTGATTTCCCTCTGGTTCACACTGGAGAAACCAAGCATCGGAGGGTAGCCATTCCAGAAGATACAAGACAGCTTGGCTTATGGTTCTGTTCCTACCCCACCCTCTTCACCCAGGAAACCTCTTCACGCAGTCACACAGTGGGTACCTTCAGTTTCCGTTTTACAGATGCGGAACCCTTATGTGGCAGACAACCAGACAGACGGTTCATGCCCTCAAGTTTACCTTTAATACTATAAACTGATAATAACACAAACACACACACACACACACACTTTCTCTACATATAACATATGTATATAAACCTGCAGGTACAAACACATATATGTTCAAACACACACATAAACATCTATAGTACATAGCCTTATGCTCATACGTGCATGCAATGTACCCATGCACACAGGCACAAACAGCCGATCCTGCCTACGGCTACTCTAGGCATGGGGAATGGGTCAATCCTGCAGGAAGGGCCCGTGCAGAGCTAAGTGCTGCTCCGCTTAGCTGCCTGGAGATGATTCAGGGCCATCCTGATGCTTCCAGAGGAGCCGCCTGGGACTTAAACCTGACACAAAGCTTGAGGGATTGCGGCTCTATTTTCATGCATTTATTTCTTTGCATTTTCAGCGAGCAGGGACAGCTCACCTTCAGAGCCACCTTGGGAAGCAAAGATGGTAATTTCCACAGAAAAAGTCCTCCCCTGAGGAAGGAGTTAGACACCACCTTCTGCCCCTGTCTTGCTCAGGGTCACACACAGGCAACCCCAGGGGAATAGCAGACTGAAGAGGTACTCCTTGGGGCCACAAGGTATTATTTTAAAAAGTACCTAATTTGATTGACAGCATTTGAGACTTGGAAGATTTCACATTAAAAACCACCCAGTTTCTCTTGAGAAACTAAGAGATGGGGCCATCCCTGGGTCACCTAGGAGTACTGAGAGAAGGCACATAGGGACCCAAGTCACCAGGGAAGCCACCTGCCAGCCTGATGACTTCTCCAAGGCAGCTGTGCTGCTGACCTGGCATAGCTGTTCAGCCAAACCATGTGCTCCAGGCCCATCCGAAGCAAGGGGGCTTGATAATGATGTTTTAGAGATGCCAGTTTCAGCTCAGACATGATAATGACCATTGCTGACATCTTTCTTATCCTGATGATTTTTGTGGGGAGGGGTCCCCCCGTTTGCTCTCCTGCTGCTGTGATAAAAGAGTAACCAAAACCAACTTGGTCAGGAAAGGGTTTCTTTGGCTTAGAGGTTTTAGGCTCTCATCAGAAATCAAGATAGGAACCTGGAGGAAGGACCATGGAGGATCTCTGCTTATTGGCTTGCTTCCTTACACAGCCTAGGAGAGGGCTAGGATTTCCTCCATCAACTAGCTGTCAAGGAAATGCCCTAAAGACACACCCATGGGCCAACCTGATAGAGGTAATCCACAATTGTGATTCTCTCTTCCCAGGGTAAGTCGAGGACAACCAGGGTTAGCTATCAGCGGGACTGACTTCTTGGACATTATCTTTTAGAACACCTTCTCCACAACCCAGCCTTTGGTAGAGAGGTCCCAAAGTCCAGGAGCAGAGAGATGGATCAGCCACTCTAAGCAGTCCGACTCCCTTGAAATCCACCTCAGGTCTGCTCCAGCTCCTCAGGACGTAACAGGTGCACCAAGGCGGTGGGGTCGGCCGCCCTCAGCCCTTGGACTAGATGAACCTTGGCCTGGCTGCCCTCCTGCTCTTCCGTGTCCCTATGGGAGTCATCAGCCAGACAGATATTCTACCTCATCAATTATGAAGACACCCCCATTTTCTTCACAGTGGTTATGACCTTAACACTGGCTAAACTCTAGTCCTGACATGCCTGTCTTTCCCAGGGAGCTCTGACCAATAACAAGCTCCCAAAAGGTCCTGGACCAACCTTCCAGTGATCCCTCTAACAGCAGCCCTGGCCTTCAGGGCCTCCCCAGACATGGTGGATTTCCAGCATGACCTAAAGGCCTTCATTCCACTTGGTCCTTGGCCCCCTGTTCACATGATGATGTATCCCATCCGTCAGTACCGGTGTATGCTGGGCAATGAGCTGTCAATGCTGTCCTTCTCCTGCTGAGACAGGAAGACACTGCTGCCTCCAGTTTATCTTTTCTCTGTGGCAGCTCCCTCTCTCAGCAACACATGCACACGCAAATGCAAACACACACAAGGAGAAACCACTGGTCCTCCAAGGGGGTGGGAGGACTGACAGATGCTAGAGAGAGAGAGAACAGGTGCCCCAGCACCCATGGCCTGGTTGACTGACTCCCCCCTCGCCTGGGTGTCTATCACAGCAGTTTATCTTTTTAAAACGAGTAAACAAAAGATAGTTGGTTCCTGGCATTCCCTTGCTTGGGGACCCTTCCAGATGGCATCTGGACCTCTCTTTGCTTTGATAAGGATGACACAGCAGAAACCATATCTAAGAGTCCTGGTCTGAGAGTTTCTAGAAAGCAAAGGAAAGATGTTGAGTGTAGATCAACAGGCTGGGGAGAGGATGGGGGAAGCAGAGTACCTACCCTGGGAAGACTGGGGCAGCTGCCAAGCCCACCTACATAAGCTTTGGATAGCAAACAGTGCTGAGCCCATGGGCCGAGGACTGCACCTTCGAGCATCCTCAGGATGGCTTCTAGGACAAGGACTGGTGCACAACCCTTCACAGGGAGGAAATGCACTCAGCTCTCAGAAAAAAGAGGAGCTCCTGGCTGTACTTACACTCCTCTGGCTTGTCCCTGCAAGGTCTCAGAGTGCAAGCATAGTCCCCAACACAAGAGTTATTGAGGTGCCAGATTCCTAAGAGGCGGGGCCTAGAGGAAGTGATTATGTCACAGGGGATCCGGACTCATTAAAGAGCCAGTGCCACCACATGGTAGTGGGCCAGGGCTCTTGGGACTAGGTTGCTCCCCTGGGGGGACTTGTTGTTATAGAAGAGGGCACCTGACCCCCATCTTGGCTTCTTTTCCTCCTCTGGAATATACTTCTACCACATCTTGCTACTTGATCTGTTGTGACACAGCCAGGGAACGCTTCTGCCAGGATTCCAAGACCATGTTGTGGGAACGTTTCATTCCCTAGAATGGTGAGCACGACAAACATCTTTTCTTAATAAATACCCCAGTGTCAGGTATTTGGTGATAGTAGCCCCAAATGGATTAAGACAATCAACAAGGGGCAGTAAAAGAGAAGAAAGATTGAGTCCATCAGGCCACATTGCCAGAGAGGAGGAGCTGAGACCTGAAACAAGGCCTAGATCCAGTATGATTTTTTCCTTAAAGAGTAGTGGTGATCCTGAATCTGGACATGCAGATCAGTTGGTAGAATGCCTCCCTTAGCTGTGTTTGCACCCCAATATTGCATCAATTGGTCATGGTGGTGCACACTTATACTCCTAGCACTCAGGAGGATAGGAGTTCAAAGTCATTCTTGGTTACAGAGAGTACTCGAAGCCAGCATGGAATACATGGAACCCTGTCTATAGCAACAACAACAAAAAGAAAAATGATTATTATTTTAGCAATAGTGTGACCCTGCAATCAAAATATAGGCCACAGAAAAGTGTGGGTTTGCTTCCCAATATTGTTTTTTCTTCTTCTTTTTTTTTTTTTTTTAGTGAATTGTCAGACAGGATCTTACCCTGTATCCCAGGCTGTTCTAGACATATTCTGTAGCCCCGAATGTTTTTGTACTTCTATCTCTGCCTCCTGTGTGATGGGATTGCAGGCATGTACCACTATGCCCCAACTTTTCCAATATTAGCAACATGGCCTGGAGGATACCCCATGCTCCACCAGTACAAGGGCTAGTTTAGGGGAACCAAAACTGGTAGGAAAAAACCACCTGGACTCTAGTCTGTAAAGTCAGAGTGAGGTAGGGCTCATGCCAGCCCTGTAGTGCAAGAATGCCTGAGGGTTTGCAGAGCCCCATGCAACTCTATGCCAGTGCCTTTGCTGGGCTGGCCTCTTCACTTTTCTGCTCCTGCCCTTTGTTAGCTCCTGATCACACCCTGGAGAAGCCCCCAAACCAACCAGAGGGAAGGCAGTCTATAGCTGACAGTTCTAAAGTCTTGCTGCCTGCCTTCTCATTGGGCTCAGAGCTTGTGGAAGAGGGGCTGTTTGATCTCTACTCTCAAGGAAGTGTGGCTCTTAATTGGCTCCTAGGCTCAATGGTCAAGGCTCAGGCTCAAGCCTGTGTCACTGTTGGGAGATGGTGGGAACTTCAAGAGATTTGGCCTAGTAAAAGAAAGTTAGGTCAGCTGGGATGCACCCTGGATAGGGCTATTGGGATTCCAGCCCCTTCCTGACTCTCTTTGCTTCTTGGTGGCCATGAGATGGGAAGCCACCTCTTCCATTCCATGATATGAGCTA